AATTATCCTCTGCACTCATCTAGCCTATTGCTATCTACAGTACCTGTGGCTAGTCGTTTCTTCTCCTGCTCCAAAGAAATACACACGTGCTGATTTGTTCAATTTTCTCAGAACAGATAACGCTTCAGAAATGCCAGTGAAAATGTTGAAGTGTGCGTAGCTGGAGTTGCTTGACTGGCTTCAGACATCAAGAGGTTGATACATCTCTCAGCTGAGCAGTAGTTCTGCTCCTTATCCCATTTTTTAGGGCTTAGCAATGGGAAAATGGACTATTGATTTAGATTAAAGGAAGGATTACTTTTAGGCTTAAACTGAAAATCCATTTATACTTTAACCTTCACTACTTTTGTCAGTTTCTTCATTTCAAGGCCCAGTTTTGTATGTTAAAGGAGATTCTGTTCTTACCGATTTCACGATCCTCGAGTACCTCTAGGGTTGTAGTCTCTCAGTTTAATTTACTCCTCACCCATTCACCCAAGGTAGTTCAGCATATCATGATGCAGTTTGAGGAATGAATTGAAGTCATGTTAGATTTTTAAAAGTGAATTTTGCTGTAGGTTTCTGATAAGTGAGAGTACATCATCCTTTGAGCAACGTATTAATGTGTGTTTGGCGATGATACACTTCTGAGCACTTTTCAAGAAGCAGCTAGCTTTACTCATTAACTTCCTTTCACTTTGATCATGCAAGTGACCTTTGTCCGTTTTGAAAAGGGAACCGTTATTTGTCTTGACTTGATCTTCTCAGATTGGGGTGGCATTCTACGAGATGCTCCAAACAGTCGACCAGTACAGCAAGCATCTCTTTTACATGGATCCTGTGTGTGACTTCCTGTACCACGTCAAGTACATGTTTACGGGAGACAGCGTGAAGGACCAAGTAAGCAGATGACGTTTTACATCAAATAAAAACTGTAAAAGCTGATTAATGTCTGAATTAAATTAGTATTTTTCTGTCACAGATGACCTTTTCCTTGTATATCTGCAACCATATACCGGACTGCCTGTTCTGTGTCGCCCAGTTCATGAGTTGTTGCGTTTCGTTTTTATAGAATTTCCTAGTCTTTCTGGTTATATTTCATAAGAACATAAGAAATGTTGCAAATGAG